GGGGTTAGAGGGGAGGAGGAAGGGCTCTCATTTCGTGCCAACCTGCTTCGCTCGCCAGCTCATGTCTAATGACTTCGCTGCTGGTGTGGAAGCCTTTTTGAGAGAGCCTGGGCATTGTGTGAGTAAAGTGTAATCTCCAAGAACAAGACATGATGACCCTTATCCATTGAAACTTAAGGTTTAAATCTAGGAAGACTAAAGATGGTCAACCTAAAACAACTGCTTTTTTATATGATTCCGTACCAGTGCACTGCTGAATGTTGATGGATAGATTTCCTTGTATGTCCCCCAGTTCACTCACAATCGGCACCGTTTGCTCCAATGGAACACCAAACACCAAGTTACTCAGGTATACAAACGATCTGTTGCCAAAAATGATGCAGACAAAAAGCTTTCTGAAGGTAATCGACTCTTAAATTGATGTCTATTATTGTATACATTGCAGTGTCTTACAAGGTTTACAGCCTTAAGAAAAAGCCGTAACTGCACACGTGTAAAGTTACGCTAATTTTTTATGCGTTTGTTGGATGTGCAAACACTCGCCTTTTGCGCCACTCTGTCAGGTTGATGATTGAATGGCAAAGCGTTCATCATTCTCAATCCAAGGCCTACGGTGTTTATATAATAAACAAAATAATATATGGCTGCTTGTAGATATGGAATGTCTCTTCTCGTGTTCAACTCGAAGTCTTACTCATTCGTTGCACTCACTCGTGAGCTACCGGGTTGAACATTAGAGGAGAACTAGAATCCCATATCCACGCGCACCCATGTTTTATTCTCAAGGGTGGAATTTTTTCCCTAAAATAGTTGATTTTAATGATTTTATTTTCTCTTTTATTTTTGCTTATGGAAAAAAAATAATTTAACAATTTTTTTTAAAACTCTTAGCTGCAGGAATAACTTAAATTAAAAGCTAGAGCCAAAATACCTTCCAATCAGTCTAAACCATGGCAGTGAATCGTAGAAAGGATCAGCAGAGTCAAAGGAGATTTTACTATTGGTTTCTGCGGCGGTGTCATACAAAAAGCGCATGTCTTCCAGTCGGTCCCTGGGAGTCGAAATGAAAACAGTTGAGAGGTAATACCTATTACTACTTAGGTTTAGAAACAACAAAGAGTTTCTTACATTGGAAGATTCTACATTTCATCAAAAACAAGGTTTGACATAGACAATCAAGTGAAATTTGATGAGAGCCTTACTCTTAACAGAGGCAACGAATTATAACAAGCCCCTTGCAAAACGTTGTAGAATAGGAAAGAAAATTTGTGTCTGTCAAAGTAACAAAATACACTCTACCAAAAGGAACCCCTCTTTAAGAGAGAGAGAGGTATAAATTATCTCGTAACACTAGGACGAAAAAACAGATTTTCGTGAAAGGCTAACATGATTCCTGTTAGAAAGGCAGTCAACTTCCCAGAAAATTTGTGTCCAGGGACTGGTCCAAGAAACAACTGCATAAGTTGTATTATTTGTGGTATTTGTTAAAACAACAATTTTGATTGTGTTTTGACCGAGTCCTCACCGTAGCTTTCCAAGCGACCAGAAGTGTGAGGCGCCATGTTTCATGTCTTTGACCTCCACAGCCAGTACGGTGGGGTTATCCTTGTGTTTGACATCACTCAAAAGAAACGATGGAAGGGGAGTATACAGTGTGTCTGTTAATAATGTGAATTGGAATTCCACCTAAAACGATAGATAAAGTTTAAGTCTTCACTGAGGACCTTGTGGAGTTGAAATCAGCTTTGAAAACGTTTTTCCCATTTAAGATAGAGTGCAACGACCGAGGAAAACCCTGTTCCAGTGACTGGAAATCTTAGTCCTTTCAAAATAAACATCGCCGTAAAATACAAAATAAAAAGAAAAAAATCCTACTGTCGTTTGCTAAGGGCTATGGCGAAAAAGATAAACCAATAATAAAAACTCAGAATAAGGTCACTATTTCACCCTTTCACCCTTGAATTACACTTTAAGGTCAGGAGAAAAAACGAAATGATCACCAAATAAAGAAACTCTTGATTTTTCAACAAATTCTCCTTGTCAGGACCTTAGGAAATGTATGGAGAACAGTATGGAGAATATGTTTACCGATGTTAGGATGCAAAGGTTTATGATTCAAGGTTTTACCTTCTTCCTCAACTCTACGCTGATGGCGTTTGCCTCTTTCAACAGTACTGCATGACTCAACAAGTCATCCTGAAATTCAAACAATGATTACAAAGCTCAAATTAAGGTATACAGCAGTAATGAATAGCCTCTTATTATTAATCTTTCGAGCATTTTATGCAAGAGAGAAGGAAAGGGAAGCTAACTTGTTATTCTCTATCAGTCAGAGAAACTGGCCTAAACTTAAACTTTGTATAATTTTCTTCTCTTATTCCATTTACATGTAAATAAAGATTGCAAGCAGCTATTACATATTCAAACCAACCCTGAGTGATGTGCATACGTAACATCTCCACTTGTCAATCACCACTTCCGCTAAGTTGAGTTCGCGTTCGGTCAGCGGGCTCTCGCCTGTAAGAAATTAAATTTCTTGTTAGTTACGTTAGCTCTCTTAAGAGGTTGCCATCGCAACAGATTCTAATGTTACTCACATTTAGTAAGTGAACTTTATTTAAAACAGGGTGGCCCATTCAGCTACAAGGCTATTGTCCAGAGGGGCCCTGTATACGCCTAAAATCATTACAATATTATAATCAATTACAACAAACACTTGTAGTCTAAAAATTTGTGGACTAAGAAAAACTAAAAAAGAACAAAAACAAAAACAAAAATACAATATTTATAGTCGGATTCTAGTAAACACTTGTAGGCTGTACAGCAAATTTTTTGTGGTTCTAAACACAGTTCGAGTGTTGACAACAGAAAAGTGTTGTGAGCCACATCACAAAAGTGTTTGCCCAAATCTACTTGCAAATATTTTAACTCTGCTGCAGGAAACTCGCAGACACCCACAGGACTTTTTCCTTCTTCTTCTTCAATCTAGGTGACAATCTAAGAATTGATATAAGGGACATTTTGGTCTCAAGTTTTCAACACGAACGTGTTCTTGTCCTTGTTTCACTCAATTTCGCCAATCTTCCTCGTCCTAGGAGGGGCACAGGCCTCAACCCTAACAAGTTAACATGTGTTACAAAAACTGAAGGAAGGTAGTGAGAAAGTATAAGAAAACGATTCTCACTGTCAAAACTGTCGACATCTATGTCACTGTCCACTGATTCACTGGATGGTACTGACGACTGATCCATCTGTGTGACAAAAAATTCTCAAAGGTTTCTCTTAAGAAATTTATAAAGAAGTCTCCTACTCAAGAACTCAGAAATATATAAAGCAAGAAAAAAACATATCAATTCACCAGCGGTTTGTTCCCATACACTAGAAAATCCTTCACAAGTCTCAGAGTGAATATGGAGTTATTCCAAAACTACTCAGAGATACTGAGCCAACAACAACCCAAGTAGATGGCCTTTGAGATCTCTACCAACATAACTTTGTGTTTACATCACGCAACAAATAAACAGAGAGAAGTCAGGTACTACAGTGTACACGTAAAAAATAAGTCTGGAAACAAATGTTACGTTTACAATCTCGTTTACCATCGACTTTTTTACAGTTATTCACTCAATTTACTAATTTTTTGTGGTTACGTCCGCAACACTTGGCAATATTCAAATATCATGTCTTTTATTGTAGATGAGGACATTAAGTGTTTTGAGAAAACACAGGTTATAACGGCCGTTTCCTTCTAAACGTGCCGTGACAAAACATAACTCTTTAAACCCCAAGATTGGTAATATCTGCTTTCTTGTTACAATATCGACACAAATTCCTACAAAATTACTTCATCACGCTTTGTACCTGCTAAAATTTAACTTGGTTCGCGACAGCTATCTGCTTTTATAACTGCAACATGGCCACAGTTTTCGACGTTTTTTTTTTTTAACGAAATTTACTCGAGTTCCTGAGGGTATCTTTTCAGTTTAAGCTTGCAAGTTTAGATTAAAGCAACGAGAGGGGCGTGATTGTGCTGCAAGACAGACGAGATGAAAAAACAACATAGCTCTAGCTGCTCTCCCGTCTGCCTTTTCTCGCGTTTATGTCAGAACAATTAAACGAAAGAGTAATAACATTAAAATGATCATAGAAAGCAGTCAAAGTGCTGATTGGGCAACTTGGGACCTGGCACTCACAGAGATGTGTGGAAGAAAAAATTACCTATTAACAACTACAGAATGACTGAAGTGTAAGGAAGATGGAAACAAGCAGTAGAGTCTAGTAATATATATATAATAAAGTCAGAGTTAAGACTTTTAAAGTCCAGCTTGTGTCCGGCAGTCTGTAAAAAAAAGAGATCTTGTCGATTTATTACCAGATTTCCTCCAACCGAAGCATTTAGTACCTTGGCAAAGCCTTCAGTAGTTGATGCCCGTCCGTGACGAACACGGCGAGTATCCTTCGAAGAAAAGAGAAATTGTGCTGTTTTTGATTGTGGAAAGATCCACATGAGTTTTTTCTTTTTACGCGAAGAACCGTGCAGAGAAACCTTCTAAAAGATGAAAGAGAGAAAGAGAGAAGGAGAATAAGAAAATGCAGAGCAAAGATATCTATTTGTTTCACCGGGCAGTGCACAAGTATCCTGCAGCCTAGTAACCAGGCGATCTCTTCTCGTTCTCTTGAATGATGATCTCAGGTCCCACTTTCACGAAGATGAGCTCTTTCGCGATTGGACGAGAGCACTTAGGAACGAGACTGGCAGGCACCACAATGTCTTAAAGTAATTTATCATACTTAGGAACAATGCTTAATCTATCTTTACTACATTTATCGTTAGTATTATCAAATTTAGTAGTTTACTATTTTAGACAAAATGTGATAAGGTTGTGGTTTTAATTAAGATCGAGACTCTGGAAAAATTGGCTACTTCACTTCCGACGACGACCAGTAAGACTTTATTTATTCTTAACTTAAAAATCAATGTTTTAAGTTGACCACTGCATGAAGTTATGCCATTTCTTTTCCCTAAATTATCAACCCTTCCTTCTCATACTATACTATGAATACCTAAGTTTAGAAAGAAAATTCAAGTCTGTTTAGAACCAAAAACATTTTAGACATTGGATTACCAGTCTGTTCGATGTTGAAAGATAGCAAAGGACAAAAACTTGTCAAATCATGATTGTTTATTGTACTTAAAGGGACGAGTTAGTTTGATTACCTGCCGCTGAAGTTCCTGCAGTCGCGTTTCATAGGTCTAGGTGAAGAAAAAAGTACAAAGATATAGTTGGAAGTTTCAATGTTGGTCTAACCCAAAAATTATTGCTGATTCTGGTCAATAGCTTAAGCTGTGTTTGTGCGTCCCTCAATTCATCAAATTCAACACCTCAGTAAGTCCTTCAAATTAGTTAGTTGGCCTGTCAGGAAATTTTAACCCGACAGGTAGTCCATACGTCGATTAATGAACCAGCTAGTTGACTATGGAGCCGGTCTTTTATTCAAACCTTTATAATTGTCTGACTTTGGACAATAGTGTCAGATTTTGGACACACGAGTGTCCAATTTTAGACGCTAGAGTCCGATTTACACACTAACGTCCGATTTTAGACACTTGTGTCCGATTTCAGACACTAGCGTCCGATTTTATACATTAGTGACCGATTTCAGACACTAGTGTTCAATGTTAGACACTAAAGTCCGATTTTAGACACCAGTGTCCGATTTTAGACGGTGGTGTCCGAATTTAATCACTTGTCTTTGTAATCGACTACATTTATTAGGTAATAGTAGCAAGAAAACGTAAAAAACTTAATTAAACGTGTCAGAAATTGTATATATATCTGTAATTTAGTAATTGTATCTCACCGGTAAATCAAGTGAAAAACAATGACTTGTACAAACAAAAACTATTCAGAAACGTGAGTTTTCGAAACACGTGTCTTACACAACCATATAAACAGTTCAAAACGCCCGGCCAGACAGACGGATAGACAGATAAACAGTCAGTGAATAAGTCCTAGAATTTATCAGTCACTCAGGGAGATGCACATCGCTTAAGTGGTTCAGTCAATCACAGCATTTACGATTAACGTAAATTATTCGATTGCCATACCAGTCTCTGCTGCTCTAAAAGTAAATCCGCTTGATCTTTTTCTCTCTTGATTTGCTCCTCTAACTCAACCACCCTTGTTAAGGAAAAAAAAACACTGAGTTCCAAGTAACATATAGCGATTATTCAAAAGCTAAAATAAAATAAAAGCTATACCTTTCATTCATCTCTTTAACATCCCAACCCTGTTCTCTTAGCAGTTCCAATACTGCAAATGACCAGTCCACGGGTTCCTCTACCTTACCCTCACTTTTTCCTGTTCATTAGTGAAAAAATAACTTAATTGAGCAGATTTTTTAGATAATTTTTAAATACATGTAATCTACTAATGGGTTCATCTCCTTAAAGTCTTCAGTTTTCGCTGGGAATCAAGGTGAAGGAGCTTGTAAAACGGCGAAGAGTTCTGGCCGGATCTTTCAATAATTCAGTGGCTGCTCTCCAGAGAAATTTTGCATTGAGTGTCTAGAGTAATCCTGGATTTCATTGGTTTTGCTCTACTTCTCTCTGTGATTGGTCTAAAAAATTACACGCCATCCTCTCAACCTAACAGGGTGCAAAACTACAACAAATCGCAAGAATGTCTCTCGCGTCTTTACTTATATTCTTTATGAATTTTTACCGGTGCCCCATGATATTTTGCGTGACAAGACCAAGCATTGAAAACGAAGGAGTCTAAGTTCTGAGTCTCTCTACTTGCAATCGCTTAAATGCTACCAAAAGCTGTAACCTACCATTTATGTCCTCGAGAAGATTCCCTCGAGACTGACGAATTCGCTCCTCACGGGCTAAATGACAGTGAAGAGAGGAAACAACAAGCAATTTAGTAATCTTGGAAAACATACAAACAACGCCAAGACAGCTAGTCAATAAAACAACGAAATCATAAAACACTCGAAGAACAATACATCTGGAAGGCAATGTTTTCAGTCCGAGACAAAGGCATAAACAAAAAAGTCAAACTTATTTCCTTTCGATTGGTCATCAGAATAAACATCTCCAACTATTTTAACATCATTTTATCCAGCCTGGTTGGGATGCAAGTGCATCGCAATACCGGTGCACGCAGAGGTCATGGGTTCAAATCCCGTACGGGCCTGAATTTTTTTCAGGTCCTATTATCAACTACTCGTTTCAGTAGTGTTCTTAGCTGCGAGGATCTCTTAATTTCATCATCAATCAAAGTTTCTTTGGTTGGCGATCATTTCCTTTATTCTCATGATCTTAATGAATGATTCAGCCCTATTACCGTAAGGAGAAATTAGATGTTGGTCACTCTCAGGGTTTAAAGGGTGAATACTCCTGAGTGGAGAGAGGCGCTGTGAAAGTAAACGGTTTTACTCAAGAACACAACACAATGACCCGGCCAGGTCTCGAACCCAGACCTTTCTCCACCTGCATGGAGTCCAGTATACTAACTACTGAGCTGCCGAGTCGCGTTATAGGTTGTAACGAACACTAATTGCAGCTTAGAAAGTTTAAAAAATACTCATCACATCCTACCTTGATCGGGAAAATTAAATCTAAATACATGATTATTTCCGAGAATAATACGAGCCCCTGAAAAACACAATTGAAAAGAACAACTGAGTATGAGGAAAACAAAGTGAATACTATCCAAACGAAAATTACAACAAAACAATTATACAGTGAAGTTTATTTCTTCATTGCAAAATTTACCTGATCTCAACACTGTGGATTCTGTTATCAGTTTTCCATTGACGAATGTACGGCTGTTCTCGCAAGGAATTATCTTCACCACACCTGCAATAAACAGGGCAAGAGCACAAATGTTAATCATGGCAGTATCTTCATCGTCCTTTTTCTTTGACTGCTCTTGACGATGTCAACAATGCTACCGTCATCAGAACACCAAAAGCTAATATGGTGTTTGTTACGAAACGGATCAACTCTTTCCTCTAATCTCAAAGGTAATCGAACTTCAACTTAGTTCATTAATACAATAGTTTTTTCAACTTGCGACGAAATCTTGAGAATTTCGTACAACGAGAAGATCTGAAGATAGCGAAAACTTTCACAAATTGAAGCGATAATCATTCCTGGCTAGTGTGCTTGAAAAGGCATTAACCTTAACAACATGAAGTCTTCAGAGTTCACTCACCTTGGGTGTGTTCTAAGACACAATGTTCATCAAGAATATTCTCCCCGCTAAGCTGAATATCTTGATGACTCTTGGCCATGGCTTGGCCAACTCTAAGGCAGTAAAATAACAGCATTAACAAGATTATTGACGTTCGAGCAGGCCCTTTTGATAACGTAAATTAGCCACCGTAAAGAGTTTAAAAGCTGACATTTCGAGCGTTAGCCCTTCGTCAGAGCGAATGGAGGAATTGTCTGCTCTGACGAAGGGCTAACGCTCGAAACGTCAGCTCTTAAACTCTTTAAGGTGGCCAATTTACGTTATCAACTCAGTTGATAATACTAAATTACCCTGTTATACTCTCCCACCGACGCAACACCACAGTTTCTTTAGTCTCTTTCTTTCTTCTTCACCCCCTCTATTCATTTGCCTTATTATTAGCACTAATAATAAGCCAAAAAAAAAAACAGCTACAGGCATCACTTATCATCAGCGAGGTTAATACTTGTGTGCTCAAATATGTGGTTTAATCACCTTGTAGTTCCGTCCTTAATGTAGTACAGAAGGCACTCGGACATCAAAGGATCCTCATTCAAATTGACAAGATGAGGTCTCTGAAAAGAAAAAAACAGCAACAGGACTATTGCTCTAACTTCAATACACAAGTGTTGATTTAGTTTGTTACGAAACGCTATAGGGAATACCAACTTTGACTTTAAAAAATGGTGTAACCTGAGATACTACAATTCATAGAGATGCAAATAATTTGAATAGGACTTCATTTTTATAGTAATAAGAAATTACTTTTTAATATTTGACGTATACTGACCATTCACAATCAGTTACAGTAATTAAATTACTCACCCTTCTTGGCTGAAACAGTCCAACTGTATGGCCATCAGTGTGGATGGCCACACCCATTTCAGCTAACATTGCCTCTCTGTTGACCAATTGAAACAAAGTTACTTTATCAGCAATTTACAATGAATACACAACAGAATCTAAAACAAGAAAGATACTTAGCCTAAGTTCTTCAGATAATAATCCAGTCATTGGTAGTTAAATATTTGACATCCATTGAAAACAACTTTTCAATGGATAACGAATTGTTTAGCTAATACCAATGAAAGAACTTGTCAGTCACTCAGTAGAAAACATTACCCACCAATTTTGACCCCTCCCCCCACCCCCCTACAAACATGACATTTCTAAGAGTCAAACAAAAATCTAAATTTCAAATACCCGTATGTATATTTCAAATTTTCAAACTCACCTCTCTTGCTTAATGGCTTCTGTTTTCCTAAGCTTCTCTTCCCAAGTTTCATTTAGTTCAGCTATCAGTTTCTCAGATGCCTGACAAGTTTAACACAAAGTAATAAAAGAAAATTATCACACTGGCAGAAAATATTTGCAAACTTGATCATAGAGGGCGCAAATTAATATGGTTTGTTTCTTCTGTTGCCCCTTTTTAATTGTCTCAATTAAACTTTTCACCCCCAAGATCTCATCATTAATTCTCCTTACTGTCTGCCATACAATTCTTATAGTTTAGGAGAATTTGGTATTGGATCAACTATTAGTCCCCTTACTGATTATTTTTCTTTGTTCTTATCACCTGTATGCTTGATATTTTATTGATATTGTAAGGAGAAATTCTATTTTGGTCACCAATAGGAGTTAACCCCTTAGCTTCCAGGAGTGATTAACATGTAATTTCTCCCAACAATATCCATTCAGTATCCAGCAAACCTGTAATGAGAAAATTCAAACTTACAAGATAGAAGATGTTACTTTGGTTTAACACCATATTTTTGTTACTGATTTACAAGGAAATGTTTAGCAGCAAGATAGGGAAAATGATCAATCAGATCTTGGAATTTAAAGGGTTAAGCAATGTGTCCAGCAACTGGTAGAGGAAGAATCTAACCTTGAGTCTCTCTAGGGTTCCATCATGGAATTCTTGACTGTATCTCCTTGGTAAGTGCGTAGACCCTTGCCTTAACACAGCTGTGTATTTGGAAATAAATCATAAGAAAAAGTTTCACAAATATTAAAAAAAAAATTAGAAATAAAAAAGACTGTCAGTGATGGAAAATGAACATGATTAAAATAAAAAAAATAGAAAGTACAGCAACATAATATGAATATAATTGTGAGTTATTATTAATGATGGTGGTATTACTATGGAAAATGAAAAAAAAATAGTCTGACTCCCTGACAAAAAGAAAGATTTAAACAGAAGAAAAGGAAACAATGATTCATCTTACTACTTCCCTTTCATTTTCTACATAAAAAAGCACACAAAGAGCATTGTGTACTAGACTAAAAAAAAAAAAATGCAAGAAAAAAATACACATGTTCAACTGATAAACAAATCTGAGAAACACATCTCTAGTAAGAAATATTAAGCTTACATTGCAAATCATCAGGATTGTAGCCTTCATTGACCAGAAGCTCCTTTAGTTTGGACACTTCTTCCTTAAGTTCACGAATTATCTATATTGGGTAAAAACACATTCTATCAAATTCTCATATTTGTGATATTCATGACAGGATTTAGTCACACTACAGTAGTAATAGTAGTAGGTACCAGTAAGTACTATTTGACTGCATGTCAGTAATAATTTTTTCTTAGATTAGCTTGCTTATTTGCAGGCCAGTTCAATGTAACAATGTGCACAGTGCAAAACAATTAAATATAAATAATAATGATAATAATAATAAAAATTACTACTTTAACAAGATCGACTGTTTAATTAATAACTAGACAAATCTAAATTTGTGAAGTATTTTCTAGAACTACGCATTGCCAAGCTGTACTGTTACATGTTTTAACATGGCTTTTCACATGCCTTCCACATGGAAAATTTCACATGCATGTGAAATATTCATCTGAAATAATTTTTAAAATCATGAGAAGACTCTGAAAATTGCCACACTTTCCACAATATAATGTTCTTGTGCCTTTGGTAGTGCAACTTCACAACAGAAAGTAAAAAATTTGAAAGCCTTTGGGATACAGGCTTTAGAGGAATTATAAAACAGTACTGCTATCTAAGCTCTGCCTCAGTTTTAAGTTGCATTTTGTCAGCGACAATATTTTGAGTTGTATATATGCACAAAATTAAATTACTTGTTAAATAAAAAGCATCATTAACACAGGAATTTCAAACTTCCTTAAAAAAGTCTAAAAGCATGGCTAATTTTCTCAGTTACCTTGGCATTGGGATCTTCATTGACTATAGCTTTGCATAAAATTTGTTTTGCACGATCAGCATACCTACCAAAAAAACAAAGCACCACAGTGAACTATTAAAATAAAGCATGGGCAATTCAACTTAAAACTTTTTTGACCAAACACTAAATTCTTAGAACCAACATTTAAGAAATGAATGGATGACAGTAAGGAGAATTACTACTGTGATATTGGGAGTTTTTCCCTAGAGTTCTAATAAATCTTTTCTTAGCCATTTAACCTTGAGGTTGAAACAAAATGTTCAATTGCTATCTGACACCCACCCAAAAAAATTAAAGTTTATTTCAGACCTCAAGACAAATACTTTGTGAAACAGACACATTTGTTCAGTGCTTCTACATCTATGCAGTAAACATGTGTAAGTACCTCAGGGTACTCAATGTTTCCTCAAAATTGATGTCTGCTGGGCTAATTGCAGCAATCATAGCTGTCTTTGAGTTTCCACCTGTTTTGAAAAAAATGAAGATTAACTACCACAATGTTTACATATTTTTAAACTTTAAGGTAAACAAACTAGTGGGCTCAGGATAATATGCAATTTGTAGTAGCAGGTACTAAAGAATCACCATAAATCTCTTACACCAGAATTTACTAAGAAATACTTCATACTTACAATATAAATTACTTACCAAGTTGATGGTTCATGAGAATAAAGAAAAACATCAACTATGGAATGCTGTTTGATTCAACACTAAATTTTTAGCACTAACTTGAATTCATAAAATTGTTTGGAAGACAACAAAGAAAATCATTACCGGTGAGAACTTGAGAGTGAAAGTATCAAACAAGAAAATTATACTAAGTCTAATGTTATCAACGCTTTATCCTACAAGGTGGTAAAAACACATCTATCTATCTTTCAGCTTTCTAGTGTCTTTGATAAAGAATGTGCAGTAAACTTGTCTACTATGTCTCCTTCACTTTGACAAAGGGCTAATGAGTGAGTCATGAGCTCTAGAAACTCTTCATGGTGGCCAACTTACATTATCAACACAACTGATAAAACCAATTTTTTTTTGCAATTCCCCCCACCGACAAAGCAACACATCAAGTTTCTTTAGACAGTTCATCCCTTTATTTACCATGTCTCACAGCTTGATAAAATAAATTTTAAAATAATTCAGACTGTACCTAGATTTTCTCTCAGAAGCCATGTCAGAACCGAATCTCTGAATGGAATAAAATCTGATTTCCTTTTCTTCTTCTGAGATGACTGAAAATTTTGAGAAAACAGTTCATATAAGCAAAAAGGGCAGTGACAATGAGGTTACTATGGACCTGACCCTTCATTTGATTTACAAATTGAAATCTTTCCAAAAAAAAAGTGTGGTAACTTTAAATTTATTCCCCTTTCAAAGATTGAACACCACTGTCAATTACTCACCTGTTCTGCAAGAGCAGATATCACCTTTCCAAGAGTTGTCAATGATTTGTTGATGTTTGCACCTTCCTGAAATATTCAAACAGACACCAATTCAATTTAAAGATAGTCATGGGTAAAACACAATTTACAATAATGGAAGTCATAATGATTATTGTTGCCTACCGCCTGATATTTGTTTTAAAATGTACCAGGAGTATTACTTTGTAAATGGAACAATTGATTGCCAATAAGAGTATGTGTAAGAGAAGAAATCTTGATTAGTAGGAGTTAATTGAAAGTCACACAAACAACTAAAACATTCTTTTGAACTTTATAAGGGTGTTTTTGTGAACAAGGTTTTCTTTAGAGAAACAAAAATCATTTTTTGCCTTATCACTGACAATACTTGTGTCCAAAATGGTATTAATTGATTATTCATAATCATTACAATTTCCTCAATGTGATTGGTACATTTGCTGCTTAATTTTCCACTAATCATTCTGTACAGTCATAATTGGACAGTGTAATCTGACAGTTGGCTGCAATTGGACACCTGTAATCGGACAGTTGAAGCAGCCAATCACAAATCAGCTAAATCCACCATTCACAGAATTAATCACAATAACCATGATAGCAACAACTAATCCAGAAAAAAAAGGGAAATTTCCAAAATGACAGAAGATGTTTGTCCTAAATTTATTAGGTTTTTTCAGAAATTGTAACAATTATGATTAATTGGTAACAGCCAATTCTGTCTGCGATCATACTTGTGATAGACAAATCAGACTCCCACTTCGCAGTTGTCTGATTTGGAAATCACTCTGTCACTTATGATTACAGACCAAATTGGACTCCACTTAGTCCTATTACCATTATAAATGTAGTACTACCAGCACACATTCACATACCTTAAGTCTCTCCCCTTTAGCCCCTGTTGCATCTGCTCTCTCACTCCCAGCAAGATCTACCAAACTCAGTTTGCTAACCTTCAATTAAGAAACAACATATTTAAGCTTAAACACAGCAAGAAATAGACTGAGGTCAAAAAGGGAAGAGTCCACACAAGTAAGATAATTGCATAATGACTTTTAATAATTTGGTATTTAGTGACCATGGTAGCATTACAAACCTTAGCTGTTGATAGGTCTGTTAAGGAGTCATGCCTCCTCTGTGTAAACACAATGCTAAAGATTGCATGGGATCTACTGCTGGTTTCGTTCATGTTTGTTGCAGCAACTGTCCTGTAAACATTGAAGAGTGCCATCAAATTTACACTACACAAATGTTGTAGATGTACAGTCATGTACCTTCAAATTACCTCACAAATCACAACAGACTCCTTAATGCTACTAATAATATCAAGCTGAATACACAACACAGATAAAGATCTTCAATCAAAAATACACCACATCTTTGATTTGAAATTTTTTTGTTGACTATAGTATAATGAATAACTGTTTTATACTATGACCTTCTCAAAAAAATTCAAGAGAAACCAAATTTTACTCACCTAGCTTTGTTGCCTTCATCAATAAGGTCATTTATATCCTCAAATGAAGTGACAGCAAGTTTAGTCAAGTCTTCTACATATGGCCCCAACATTGGATGTTCCCTAAAGAAATGATCATTCCAATTAATTTTTATAACAATTAAATGTAAAAAGAGCTTAATAAGTGGCAAGAAGCTCTGACTCTCTCACAGGTCCTCAAGTGACCCAGCAAGAGAATAACCAACATTAAATGTAAATTGAAATATGGCTGAGGGCTGGTTTGAGTTGAATTACAATTTAAAACATGGCATTTAAACTTATTGCATGCTTTCCTTGACAAACAATATTTTGGTGATGCAGGAATCAAAAAAAATTTCAAGAGTAGAGTTCTCATGACAAGTGTTGGCTAAAGGGTCATCTGCAAAAAGTTCAAACATTATATGTTTTGTCCTTGACAGATTTTTCATTATTAAGTTTCTTGTACAAAACAAATGTCAGATTTTGGACAACTTAGAGACCTTGTCAGCCTCACCTCACTCTTAAGTTGTTCTTAGCTTTTGGACTCAGCAAATCTCTCACTCTTTCACAGTAGATCTCAAGATAGCTGACCTGATGAAAGATTAAAACATGCACTGTACAAAAGAATTTTACAAGTTGTCAATAACTCAGACTGCATTATTAGGCAACTTAAATATAACTAAAAGATAGACTGCAAAGGCCCCTTGACTGAAATAGAAAAGTTAAAAACAAAAATTGTTCATGTCTAAATAGCTGTTTTGGAAAAGAGGTTGGAGGACCTTGCAAGTGGTCTCTGTACATGCAAGTAAGGTTGATGAAAGGTTTGCATTGAGTCATGTGTCTTTCCCTTTATGCTTTAAGATCAGAGTCTCATACCTCAGCAGATAACATCAACTCATCGCTGCTCTCACTGTCAATCTTTTGGAACAACTCTTCACAAAGCTAAATAAAAATAAAGGAGTATATAAGGGGCAAGGTAACTTTTATCTGAATGAAACTTTAAACTCCAGAAGTTTTTAAAAGGTAACCATTATTTTCTCTCCACAATTTTAATAATACAATTATAATAGATAAATTAATAAATGGGATTTAGCAGTGGACATTCCATGAGGTGACTATTCTTGCCCACTATTGAATTGGTCAAATTGGAATTAAGAACATTGGTTTTTGATATATTCTTCACTTTCATACATTCTTCACCCAACAAACAAGTGATCACAACAGACAGACTTATTAACAAATGAATGTCACCTTCACATTGACGTAAGATCAAATGCTCCTCGTAAACAATTTCATTCCCAAGATCTTAGTGATTCTCCCTTCAGAGTCTATGCTATACATTTCTTAATTATAACAAAAGTTCTAAGAATTTTGTTTTGAATCAAAAAGTACTCCCTTAATTATATTTTTCTTTATTCTCATCACCTTTCTGTGAAATATTATATTGCCACTAGAAAGAGAAATCACATCTTGATCCCTTTTGATTTTGAAAGGATTAATCTACTAGTAGGTAAACTATATTTACCTATAAGGAATATTTAGCAGCCGAAAGGTAGAATTTTCAAAACAAATACATTTAAATTTCATCTTCACTGGTAATTAGGGTTTAAACAATGTGTCACTAACAAAGTCTTGTCTGATAAAAGTTAGCTCCTCCTGATATTCATAACATTTTCAAAAAATAAAAAAAAAGAAAATCACTTTAATTTGTTCCTAAATTTAGTTGAACAGCAACACAACTATTTCAATTATCCATCAATTTAGATAACTGCTTCTTCCATGTAGCTCCATAATATCTCACTTGTGGTATGATTCCTTTCTGGTCAGCCTCTTGTTTGCCCATCATTGTATAAGACTTTCCAGAGCCTGTCTGGCCATATGCAAATATGCAGATGTTGTATCTGAAGGGAAAAATAACAATTTACATTATTATTCATATCTAGGCTTCACCATAGTGCTTATTAAGAATTTTCATGAGATGTCCATCAAATGTGAAAATTAACAATGGAATTCATGACTGATAGAGCAGAGAAAGTTGTAGTTACAGTTTAATACCAGTTATTTCCTTTCTCTCATGGCTCACCCTAATTATCAATTATTTAAGTCAAGAAAGATAGGAAATAAGAAATCAACCCAGGTAAACAACATTTCAACCTTGTATAAATTAAATTTCAAATGTGTCAACACAGGATTCCCTATGAGCAACAACTGTTTAAACAGAATAAAAGGTATTAAATCCTTTCACTCCCAGGATCCCATTTATTTAGTAATTCCCCTCACTGTATGTCATATAATTCTTATGATGTTAGTTTGGAGAATCAGGTATTAGATCAACCACATGTATTAATTCCCTTATCGATTTTTTCCTTTAATCTCATCACTTGTCTGCTTGATATTCTACTGTTGTTGTAAAGAGAAATTCTTTCTTGGTCACTCATGGGAGTAAAAGAGTCAAAAGCTAGCATCTACTCTTTTTTCCGATCACAGGTTAGTGATCAATTACCAAGTCATTTGGTATTGACATTTCTAGATAATTAAATAATGAAAATCTTGACTCCTGCACTTTCCCTAGCATGTATATTTACCCCTCAAATGCATGTGCCAACATCTCTTTACCAATGTCCGCATACACTTGCTTTTGGGATGCAAAGTGGGCATCATTCTGCAAGAACCAAATTAAGAAATAAAATTCATGAAAAATGTTACGACAAGTACTAAGACGTGAATGAAAGTGATCCTCGCAGTAATGTGCACTACTTAGGCAGTAGTGAAAATAAGGCCTGAAAAAAATTCAGGCCTGTATGGGATTTGAACCCATGACCTCTGCGATACCAGCGCAGCGCTCTACCAACTGAGCTGACAAGCCAACTGAGAGCTGATTTTTTTCAGGCCTTATTTTCGCTACTGCCTAAGTAGTGCACATTACTGTGAGGATCACTTTCATTCACGTCTTTATCCGCAGTTCAAATATATGACTTTCATATATTCTTAACCGACAAGTACTAAGAGTTAATCAATTAACTCTGAGACAAGATAATTTGGTTTTCATCAACTGAGTTGATAATGTACTGGCCACCCTTAAGAGTTTCTAGGCTGACGTTTCTGGCATTAGCCCTTTGTCATTTGCTCTGACAAAGGGCTAAAGCTCAAAACGCCAGCTTAGAAACTCTTTAGGGTGGCCAGTTTACATTCAGTTGATGAAAACCAAATCATCTTTTCATACTCCCCCCATGATGCAGCACCACAATTTCTTTTAATAGAAACTTGTCACCTTAACTCTGAGACAATTATCTCATCAGAAGTTTTATTTAGTACTTTTTAATTAAAATGGGTTCACAAGTCATCTTGCTGAGTTTGTTAAAAGCCAGACATGGTTTGATGCTACTCTGGTTTACAGATTTAATTAATGTAACTGAAGAAGTTACAATTCATAGACCCAAAGTTTTGTAACTTCTTTGGTTACATTCATTAAATCTGTAAACCAGAGTAGCATCAAACCATATCTGATTGTCCACTTGGTTACCATGTGAACTTTAATATATCTTGTAAAAAGCCATTAGATGAATTAATTGTAAGTGATTTTCACTACTCAACACTGCACATGAAGTTAGAGTTGTTTGTATCCCAACTTCTACGATGAATTCAGCAACAGGAACAGTTCAAACAGTTGTAAGATTAAATGTACAGCCCAGGGTGCAAACCCACATGGGGAGGTTTATGTACCAGATAGATTATTATCAAACCTTACTTCATCATGAGACCAGTATGAGTAATCAAAGTTAAAACTCTTGGGCTTTTCACTCAAGTTTCTTGGATTTAGGATAGCTGAAAAAAAAAACAGAGTTGTGAAGGCAAAGACTAAGACAACAGAATTTGGCACAAGAAATAGCTTCACCCTATTTGACAGTTAAACACTTCTAAAATATACCCAGATATTATACAAGGTGCATAGTATTTTTTCTGGCCCCCAGGTGGTGAGGAAAAATACCAGTAATCAGCAAAATGTCCACTTGTATCATATATCAAACCATTGCCTGAAATTTAAAGAGGGTTAAGGACATGATTTGAAAGGAAAAATCTAGAGATTTCAGTCTTCCAAAGGTTAGCATCTCTTTTCGTCAAGCACAAGACTCAAATACTCTCAATATAACATTCAACCCCAATCTTGTGCCCCAGGTGGTGTGTCCTTCTATATCCATTTTTGTGATCAAATAATCAAAGATTTTACTCTAAAACTTCTAGAATGTAATTTCTGAATCTCATGACTCCTGGGCAAGATTGCATGTTCAAAAGGAACAGGAGTTAATCCTATTCCAGGATTAAAAATTTTATTTGCAAGGTTTTGATCTCTCTTCTAAGGAAACATATACTCTACACTTAATTCATAATATGCATCTACAATTCATAACAGTTTTATCTTAATGCCAGCAAATCTGCACTTGGTAAAACATAAAAGTGAACACTCTCTACAGGGATAAAAAAGCTAATAAGAAACTTATTCTAACCCTAAGTTAAAATGAAGCTCAATTGTTTTTAAAACAATGCCCTTTGTCTTCTATTGAAAAAAAAAATAAATTGGGAGGTTAATTTGTATGGCTAATTAATTTCAAACCATGCAGTTTAAAATAGTATTGATCACTACATCAGTCAAAGGCTTATAAAGTAATCTGATACAGCAATACAAGACATAAACAAGACTAAGTCAGAACTTGTAAATCTGACACACATTCAGTTAATGTTGTGGTTTGAAGCAACTTAAAAACAATCTAAAATAGCAACTTGAAAGTAATTTCAATGAAATAAACCCTATGACAGGGCAAATAATTTTTATTTTAATTCTTAGGGTAGCTGAACCATTCTTTAAAAATATCTGTATGCCTACAGCTGTGTTTGAGTAAGTATGGATATATATGCAAATCTCAGCAAATCATTATAATATCATCTTACTTGAACCAAACCACATTCTAAATCATACATTATTAACTGATCCCCATCTCAAGAGAATGAAGTGTTGGAAATTTTATATTGAACGCTGAGTTTTGAAATTTCATATCTTCCAATATCATATTGTATCCTTGTTAATATCAGAATGTAAACAACACTGGAAAAAAAAAGAATAAAATTTCCTTTAATCTACCTATGGAAACTTTCAACTTCTTTGATGCGGGATGAAAAATCGACTGATGCTCAGTTATCAAAACCAAAAAATTAGCATATTTCACTTTTTTTGTTAATTTATTTCTAGAATTTCGTCAAAAGAAATCTTTCAGAGATTTGGATTAAAAATATCCCGCTAAGGCTTTTCGTGACTATACGATACCAGACGTGAATAAAAAATCTTTTGTTCTGGAAATATAGAAATTAAACTCATGGACTTCAGACAGTGCACTAGCTGAACGTAGGTGAACGCAAAAATAATAAGAAATTTAGCAGTCGACACGTCCATCGTGTCAACTAAATTTCATATTTACCCACTGGTATTTTGAAAATTGGGAAATCACATTCCCATAAAAATAAATTAGGAAAAAATAAAATTACAACTAAAACATTTCCCTTCAGCTGTTCAATCGCTAATCAAAATATCGAGTGGCTCATAAACTTTCAGCCAAATTAACATATCATTACAAGTGCAGACAACAACTCACTTGTGGTAGGTCCGTGCATCCCAATTATACATTTGCAGTTTCGATTGTTTTCTCGGCTCGCAAACGGCCGAACTCGAACAGCCACTTTCACAGAAGACATTTCCTAAGCAGCATGAAAACCGAAAACCATTCTGAATATCTTGGAGAAAAGTCTAGGTAACTTTTGACTCCATTGCATTACATCATTGCCCTAGGACCGTCTAAAGCCGTCATCTTCGTAAAATAAAACACGCGCAGTTCTCCCCCACACATCAGCTGTAAGGCATTCTCATAGCCCAATGGCAAAATAGAATGGTAAAAGTGATAATTCCACGGACTGTTTCCAACGCTTAAGGATGAATTCCGCGGAAATTTAAGCACTGATGCTTACAGGTCACGAAATATTTTTGATCACGAGTTTAGCATTGGGGTAAGTCCGCTGACCACAAGATGGGCTCATGCATTCCCGAATGCATGCTGTTCTATTGTTGAAGGGAGGGAGGGAGACGAGGACGAACCATGATGGGGGGGAGGGGGGAAAGAGGAAGAAAATAAATTCAGAGCCTATCGCATATTGTAAAGAATTATTTAAAATACAAATGTGTAAAAAGCTATGAAGTAACAGTTATGGATTTTGGAAAGTAAAAGCAGAAACCGATTAACCAGTGCATCTTTTTCAACAGAACACAGCCAGTAATTTTGAGATTGCAGAAACGTCTGATGCAGATATCTCTAGTAAACTTACGACTACTCCAATGTCATGTTCTGATCAGATGAATGGGAATGGTGACTACGGTTAGTAGGGTTGCCCGTAACTCCTTCTGGAGCTTGGGCCATCGACGATATCCCTCCTCGACCTTGTCCTGTTCTGGGCTAGGCTTTCGAGTGTAGTCCAGCTGTTGCCGCAGTTCTTCATCTCCACGCCGGGTGTTTTTTCGGGCGTCTTCTTTTCCGTTTGCCCTGAAGATACTATTTCCTGGTTTTCTAAGTAACACTGTCTGGATGTTTCTTTAAGGTGTGGCCGATTCATCTCCACCTCCTCCAACTGCTTTAAATTTGAATGAGTTCCTAAACCTAATCTTTCTCATACATCATCGATTGTTTCTCTGTCTGTTCTATCTATTTTTAGAATTCTTCTAACAAAACATTGAAAGACGTTTATATTTTCGAAAGACGAGAAAAGGGGTACAATGACGAAGAATGGCGCTTTCTGTGATTTTTAAAGATAAACTCCAGAATTCTTTTTAAAAACACATTAAAAGACTTTTATGCTTTCGAAAGACGAATGAATGATAAATTTTTAGAATTCTTCTAAGAAAGCCTTGAAAGATGTTTATGTTTACGAATGACGGGAAATGAGATGTAATAACTGAGAATGGAGCTTTCTATGATTTTTAGTGACGATAAATGATGTCTGGTTCATTTTTTTGTTTGAACTAGTTATGAAATTTTAGAATACTGAGTAGCAATCAACATTTAAATAGCGTGCAAGATATCCTTCTATCTGGTCGAGTACATCACCTGACATATCATTTAACTAAATGACGTCACAGTATCGACATCGCAGAAAAAGGCTTTATTGTGTTCTGTATCCACCGATTTGAAAAAAATTGGAATTGACTCATCCATACCAACCGGAAATGAACAGAGCCATGTTTTTTTTAACTCGGCTGCACGCCAAATTTGATCAATTTCGGCAAAAATATATATGAAACGTTCCGTTTCACACCAGATTAAGCGCAAGCTCTTCACCAAACAACACAACAGAGGTCAATTAAACAATACCCACTTTATTCTAGTAACACAGGAGCACGAATAATCCGTGCTCTCATTACGATTATTGAAAAGAAAACAGGATTGTCTCGAGGGGATCTGTTCTTTCCTCTCTTGTTTTGATTTATTTTTCTTGGACGTAAGTTAGCTCAAAGAAGAAACTCGTTGCCGATGAGGAGAAAATGACGAGCGCTCTCTGAATAATATAATCCTTTTTTCCTATATGCACTTGTGTTCAGTTAGTATCTTACCTAGCTAGGGTAGGTTCAAGGTCTTTGAACTCAAGCTTAAGGTAAGGGTGTGCTAAAAGTGATGTCTTCCATAACGGAGAAGGAAATCTGCTAACTTGATTCTTCTTCTCTCCATCTCTTTCCGCCGGTAACGAATTTGATTGTGTTCGTCTGAGATTATAAAACTGGTCTCTAAGCAATTATGTGGATGTTTTTCTCCCACCCTTCCCTGAAGACAAGACTACCAATCCTGCCTTGTCGCAACAAAATTGGATTGAAAGGCAATCAGAATACTTTTAAATTTTTTAAGATTCCTATTCCACTCAAATTTCTTCCACCACATGCGGAAATACTGGGAAACTTTAATATCAACCAATGAAAGCTCTCGTTTCACCTCATATAACAGCCTCTATGATTGGCTAGGTTTCAGTTACTAGCCGAAGATGCAGTCATGGCGGATGATGAGAGCATAGAAAGGAACGGCTTGTGGCATCTTCAAGAACGTTTGAAACAAGAGAGACTGTTCGTCAACAAAGAGAAATCTGAAATATCAAGTCTTAACATAGAGATACAATCAACTTGCGAAAGACTTTACCATTTGTCGTGGATAACTCGGCAACAATGGAAGGTGGTTCAGCGAGTGAGGGCTTCACCTGAAGAATGCAGCCATGTCGTAAACAGGCTGGATTCTGCCCGCTTTGTGGACGCATCAAGACATCTTGGCTACTTAGAATCAAAATACTGGGAATTTTTTAAGGGACTGAGAGAGAATCCCTCGCTTGTCGCATCCACTTTGGCTTATGCGGACAAAATTAATTTAGACACCTCTCAGCTGATTCGGTTGTTGCTGAACTCTCTTTATGGAAATTGCCTTCTTCCGCAAGATGAAAATTATGTGTTGATGCTAATGAAACACCTGATCGAGTTGAAAATCACAGGAGATGAGAGCCCTGAGAAATTCCTTCAGCATAAAAGGAATTCATTTACGTCGCTGTTTGGGATTCTAGTCGAGAGCTTGTTCTCCGCAAAGTTGTATTTGACAGCGGCCCTTCATGCACCTATTATGCAAGTTCTCTCGGAAGATTCACTTTTACAGAAGCGCTTACCCCTCAAGTGCACTAAATTCGTGGAAAACCTTAAAGCGAAACTCTATTGTTTTCCTCAAAGCTTGCGATGGTTAATGTGTCAGTTTGCAAATATTCTTTCATCCCACGGTATGAATGATAAGGAAGTGAGGTCAATGGTCTTAAATCTGTTATTTGATTGCATTGTTTGTCCGGCGATAATACGACCTGAGCAGTTTGGCATCACTTCTGATGTTCAAATTAGTGAAGTAGCCTCACAGAACTTGCAAAATATAGCTTCCTGTTTGCAGTGCTTGCACTCTCTCTATTCCTCTGAAGATGAGAATGCAAGAAATTTGGACATGTTTTCAAGGATAGATCCAGTAAGTATGTCTTGCATAGACTACTCTATCTGAGAGGGAATTTCCTTTACATCCTAAGACAGATTATTTCTCAGAAAAATCACACTTATCTTTGTTCCTGAACAACTGGAGTTTATCGCATGAAGCAAGATGAAATTTCCTTGGTATTACACTCCTTTTCCTGTTACCCTGAAATTAGCATACATGTCTGATTGTCATAGAAGACTGACTGATGAGAGAGAAATGGTGGTTTCTTTCACATACCATTTGAAAGCTGGCTCACCCATTTATACATCATATGGGTGTAATAATTCTTTAGGCAGATTTCCAGTGTTTGCATAAGCTAAAACAATTACTTCTCTACAATATTCATAAAAAATTTTCTGTTTTGGGTATATGAAGGTCCTACTTGCTTTCAATGTTTTTGCTGAGATTTTAAGCTAGTATTCATTTCTTTTCAGGTCTGTGTGACTTCATTTTTAGATGCCATATTAGAGAACCAAAAAGACATTCAAGATTTTCCAAACCATAAGTCCCTTTCTGGCCTTTGTCGCAATTCAGTTCTCATAACAGAAAATGAGCTACATGCCTTGGTGAGTTTCATGCATGTGATGCCTGATCTAAAAGAGAAAGTTATGTTTGTTTTCACGAAGATGAGAGTTTTTCGTCATTGTATTTTCAAAGAGGAGGAGGATGCAAATGAATGACTGGCTGCTATAGAAATCCCTTGTCTGTGCACTTTTTATTTCTAACTAGAGAGATGGTAGTCTAGTGGTTACTGTACAGGGTTCTGATCTGGGTTACATAACAGTATTGTGATCTTCAGCAAGACACTTGACCATTAGTCACAGTTCCTATTTCCACCCAGTTGTAACCCTTTACAGCCAAACATTTATAGGTATATTCTCTATACTATCATCTAAACATTTCATATGGTACTAACAGGAAGAATTTCTTTGATCAGTGATTGTTAGATTCATCCAGAGGAAGCCATTTTACATATAGTTGATTCAAATCCAGAAATTAGGAGAAGGTTTGACAGTACTTTGAAGCCAGGAGGCTCTTATGAATTACACTTTTCCTCATTATGTAGTTGTTTTTGTACATTGGAGTAAGCTGCCTTTCAGGACAGTTCTTGTGTTCTAGCAGTTTCCCAACAACCCTCAAAATCCATAAAATCAATTAGAGAACCCCTCTCAATATCAAAGGAACAATACAAGTCCAGTTCGTGCAACAAATGATATTACAACATTAAAATTCAAATAATTTGAATCAGCCAATGAGCGAGCTACTGAAATCAAACAATAAAAACGAAAAAAAGTCTGTAATTACATGCACGTGCTAACTGATTTATTTCAAAGTTTTTAATTAATTCTATAAATGCAGAGAAAAGTCGCAACATTTTGTGTACATAAATTTCTTTTGTTCCTTATCTTAGACAAGCTTTCTTAGAATGATTGAACACAGTGAAGACTACAAAGATATTGTTAACCATAAGGAGCTAGAAGAGTTACTGTATCCTCTGCCATCCCAGCCAGAGATAAGTCCTGTGGAGCCCATTACAGATCTGTTAGCACCCCCAGGTCCAGAGCATTCAATAGAGAGTCCAAAGACGCCAAAAAAGAGACGAGCCATCAAAGGAAAGAGGGAAGATAAAACTCAAAAGCAAAGCTTGGGAGAAGGTCAAGCTGCTGAGTTTGAAGGGAAGATAATAAAGCAGTATAACCCTTTATATGTTGAAAACAAATCAGAAGGGTTTAAGAAAGAGTTTCTCCAGCGAATGGCACTGATGTTGAAGGAAGGTGAAGATGTCCTAGTGATCTCACTTGGCTATTCAGGGATTGAGTGTCCTGGCCTGCTGTCTGAGGAAAAAGTGAGTATCAAGTAGTTGTCATTATTTTGTCTCCATCATGACTTAGTGTATGCACTCATCTAGTATGTGTATATCTCTCCCATCAATAGATGCATGGCTGATAAA